CTCAGCCCAGATGGGTCTTTCCGAACTGGCAGCGCTCTGTGTTCCCCGATGGACCTCAGTGCGCCTGACAGCTTCACAGGCGAGACTGAAACACAAGAAAACGACACTCCTGAAATCGCCGCTGACTCCTCTGCCTGAGGCCGTCAGATCTCTCCCAACAGCATCTACAGCGGTGATTTCTATCCCATGGATCGCTCCCAGTCCCCCGATTCACCGGTGGATGAGCCGCTTGGGAGGTTTGTTCAACCGTCCGACGGTTTGGGTTCGGGATGGTGGTTCGGGTATTTTTCTTCGGAGAGAAAGAACAAAGACATCGAATCATCAGAGCGTGATCACGGAAATACCTGGACGCACCTGGAGAAATCAATGGTTTGAAGTAAAGTCGAGTGTCGTGTCAACGAGCGTGCCTACAGTCGTGCCTACGTTCAGCTGCCAATGTGCCAAGTGCAGCCTGTTTTGGCCTGCCTTGTTAAATGTCATGGAATTGGAGCGACGAGCCTGTAGAAGAACATCCACTGCAAGCCATGAGCTAGTTTGTCACTCACTGTACTTCTTTCACATGTGTGTGATACCTTGAAGACAGGTCACGTGAGGAAAAAGGCCTTGAGTGCACCGAGGACTAGAATGTCTATTTGACGCCTGCGCGGGGCTCGTCCGTGATCTCTTTGTTTTCAGAGAGTGGTCCATTTCCAAGTCAGACGTACACGTACTTAGAAGTTCGATTTGTGCCGACGAAGAATCTACTTGCATCCACTTGCAACATCTCCAAATGGGAAAGGACCTCTCATATCCAGGTGAATCTCTCACCACAACATTTTTTGAAGCCTTTCAATCCACAATTCGGGCAACCATCCTACTAGTAGGTGAAAGACCCGGGTTGTAAGTGGAAGGTCACCCGAAGGGCTGCGTGTTTTGCGCGTTTCAGCGCACGGAGGCATTTTGTGAGCATGTGACTTTTGTCTTGGCAATCTGCATCACAGAATGTGACTTCCAACGAAAACGTATGTTCTTAAATGTTATGTATATATATATAAATGTTATATATATATATATAAATGTTATATATATATATATACACCAGTGGTCCAGTCTTTGGCAAACATGCTGGATGTATGGATGTATCAGTGATGCCGTGCCTCGATCATTTTTTTGCTCTGGATGACATCCTGGACTGTGGCACATGCCAAGCATGGCTGCTTTGTTTTAATCCAAGTGTCCAGGTGTCGACACGTTTCAAGTTCCACAACCATGTCTTTCCCGAACTCCAACATGGATTTGAGGGAACGCTGCTGGGAACATGCTACCAGAGCGAACAAGCTGAGGATGCCAGCCTCCCCGAAAAAGGAACATGAAGCTGGACTACATGTTGAGGTTAAAGTCAAGCCTTTACAGGCCATGTGGGTTTGCCTCGAAAGGAAGCACACCGGTTCACACCAGATTTTGGCTACTTTGGTGGAATGGCCAGTTCATGCTGTTCACGATGATCGTTTGAATCGTTTGATTCACTCGGTTCGTTGTTTCGGGGTGGCCGTTTGCTTTTGCGTTTTCAAGGGTCTTCCGTCGGGGCTTCAAGGGCTCGGGACGTGGCGTCGACTCTGAAGGCAGGTCCTGGAGGATCAGGCTTGAAGTCCGGCAGGGCCTGGACGTCAAGCAGCACTCAGTTTCTGAGAAGTCTTCATGTTGATGTTTCAACATGTGGCAACTGTCGAGGGTGCAGGACACATGTGACAGTTGTCGTGGAAACTGTGCTGAAAACGGCGAAATGCTTTGCCATTGGCTCGAACGATCCACTGTTTCTCAGCCAAGAGGGGCGTAGAGGGGCCATCAATTTCAGCCTTGTCCAACCTTTTGGGGTTCCTACTGTCGGAAGTTCGACCGGAATCTGGCCGACATGAGTTGACCAAGAGATGTCCTGCTTCGATTCCTTGAACAGCTCTTTCCGAAAGCCGATGAGCGTGGCCACACTGGTGGAAAGAAGCAGCCATGGGGAAGCTGGTGATCTCCATCGAGTTTGCGGCAGAAGAGCTGAAGTTGGAGGAGTGCCGAGCTGGGAGCTGGGATGAAGAGCTGAGTGAGTGGTTGACGTGGTTGTGTCCTGCATTTTTGGGTGAGAGGGATTACAGATTCTAGGCAGTTGTCGGAATAACCTTGAGAGCACAAGATACTATCTCGTTCTTGCTATTTCATCCAGCAACAGCAATTGGCCATGGCTGACACACTAAAGAAAAGACGCTCGGTATGTCGAAGAGAGCAGGCTGTCAAGTAAGCTACTACTCAACAACAGTGAGAGCATACCGGATGATTCCTGGGTTCCTTTGTGCCAGTTGAGATCAGCAAGGAGAAAGCTCACACGCCCAAAGGTGTGGCCTTGTGCTTCATGCACTTTCGCCCGCTCCTACTCCCACTTTCAACTGGATCCGAGAAGTTTCACTTTAGGGGACGAGGCAAAGCCATGCTGCTGGAAGTGGAGTGGCCCGAAGTGCGTCAGATGGCCAAGCGGGCTCCATTCTGGCTCCTCTTGCTGGACCAAACTTGGCAGGCGGGAGGAGTTGGTGGTTTGGAGATTCCCAACAAGACCCACTAAAAGGGACCCCGGTATGGTCAGAAGGATCAATCGGATAAACAGCTCTTGATTTAAGAGCTCTTTGATTTTGACCAAGGCTTAAGAGCGTCTCCCTTGCCTTGGCCACTGAATAAGATGGCAGGCGTGGCAGTCCATTTCGTGGCAGGTGCAGGGAATGGTGAGCCGATGAGACTGTCACTCTTGGGCGAAGTCTCGAAATGCTCGCTTTGGAGACATCTGATGCGTGACTTCTGTGGAGGAAGTGTTGCGTGTGTGGCTCAGGAGTTACACATGTACTCCAAGGGGTACCTACTGGGGGGTCCGAGCTCCATGTACCACAAGAGTCAAGAGTGCCGTAGAAGAGTGTAGTGTTTACATGTGTTTACCAGAGTGTCAAGCAAGAGTGCCGCAGTGCCAAGAAAGAGTGATCTGATAAGGGTTTCACCAGACAGCGATGTTCACACTGTTGTCCTTTCGGGCTCGTGGACTTTCGTCTTTTGCACCAGATGTTTTGGACGACGCACCGGTGCACCGGGTCACGGTGTCAGGTCATGGGCTCCACCTGTTTTGACCTGGGCGCACAGATCGCCCGGGCCGCGGCCGCCGGCGTGGCGGAGCGTGAGACGGAGATGGACAGCTTTGGGTTGCTGACGGCCCAAATGCTGTCCACCCATGGGAATCAACAGGAGTGGGACATGCTTCGTGTCTTATGTCCGTGTAGCAGCAAAATGTGATCTGTCAAAGATCGTCTATGTTTATAGTTGTTTATGTTGTAATCATTGTGGGCTTACTTGTTGGACACATGCTACTTTGAGCATTCTTGAGCTGTTTTTTCAGCATAAGCAAATAAACCATGAAGCTTCTACAGTGTTTCCAAATGGTTAGTTCCTTTCAGTGCGTTGCTTTCAGCAGGTGGCGAGCCTAGACTGTGCATTCCGAGTGGGGTGCATCCGTGATGCGAGCTACACAAGCAACGCAAGCGTTGGGGATGTTAAGGACAAACTGCGGGAACTACCCAAAGTGGTGGAGGCGGAAGGGTGGGCGAGTTCGTCGGTGTTTGCGGCATGAAGATGTTGGGGGACAAAGGTGTCTTCCTCCCGCAGCCCTGCTCTTCAACCCGCTTCACAAGCAATCGTTCTTTTGGAGTTCTTGAGTGCCATCGGAAGAGTGGCCGTTCTGATCTCGGAGGACATGCCGTTGGACCCCTTTATCGAGGACATCACCGTGACAGCTGCGCCCGTCTCAGCGCCGACGGACGCTCCCGGTCCGCCGGATCGGGACGCAATCCTGGCCGAGCGAGGTGGGAATTCCAGGGGTGATGGGGATTTTTGTGGTCAAAGATCCCATTGTGGATTGGACAGTTGCCCCAAGTGCTATCAAACGGAAACTAGAAGGGAACAATCTCTGGGTCATGTAGAGTAAGCATGGGGTCTGACTCCATTCAGAGGATATCAGTGCTAGGGGTTTGCGCTTGCTTGAACCAGTTTTATGTGTAAAGAGAAGATTCCAGGGAACTCTAATGTGCCTGGAATTTAATACTGGTAGTTTTGTAAATGTTTCTTGAACGTTATGGTGAAACATAAGCAACTTGCAAGGAAGACCCTCTTTCTTGCAGGTCCTGCAGGTGCTGCAGGTCCTGCGCTGGGTCAGTGCACTGGCGAAAGTCTTGAGAGCATCGTTGTGGGCAAGAGAGAAACGGCCAAGACCGGCAAGACCAAGCCCGGTGAGCAAGTTGGGAAAGACTCCGGTCTGTTTAGGTCATCATTGGATCATTGTACACAATCTATCACAGGCGTTGGTCTATCCTATTAGTCTGTCTACATTGTTGTTGTTATACAAATATATATATATCCGATGATTCCCGCTCTTCGGATTCTTTTGACATCTTTCGAGTGCTTTTGACTCCTGTGCCGCACTCACCTCCAGCTGAGCCGAGGACTCTCTGGACCGCTCGGATAACTTGGAGCTCCCATCAGAGCAGCTGGGCTCGTGCACCTTGAGCATCTCTGCCCTGACCTTGGTCTCTGAGATGACCCGGGAGCTCATGGGCGAGGAAAAAGATGGGAAATGCGATGCCGTGCCGCATCGGTTCGCTGCGAACCAGACAGGTCGATGTCCCCGCCTGCAAGGGCGGGGCCTGTATCTCAGTGTGGACCGTCCGTCGAAGCTTTGGACCATTCTGAGCATTTGGTGGCTGTGTGTGGTATGCGGTATACCGATTTACATTAAGGTTACACGTGTGGGAATCACGACTGAGGCGTGACATAGGTCGTTGACATGGGGAGAAAGCTCGCAGCTGTACCCGGCGACTGACTGCTTTTTGTCGGCATACCGCGTCTTCAGAACATCATACAGAGATGTACATATTGGATTCCACTGATGCACTGGTGGGAGCCTGGCCTGTCGTGTGCCAATCCCTCAAACCGCAGAATGCCAGGTTCGCAAAGACTGGGCTTGAAGAGAAGGCGGCGGGGGATGCCGTGGAGGCTTTGATGAAGACTTGGCAGACTTGGGAGCCCAAGACTCACTTGAAAGGATCTTCAAGACGCCACGCCATCCATTCCTATTTACGGGCCACTCGCTGGTGTTTGTTGGCGGACGAGGAACCTGTCTTGGGTCAATTGAACAGCCAACCATGAAAAGGTTCGATTTGCGTTCATGATGTACGACGAGGAGCAAGACGGGTAAGAGCCCCAACGGGCGAGTCGGAGTTGGGTCGGCATGGCAGTCATGTCACTGGCCATGGCACTCTGAATGTTGGTTGGTTGACGAATATTTCGGGGATCCTCCCGGTCATGTACAAGCAAGTTCGTGTACCAACCGTTGGTACCTGGCACCGAACCGTTTCGTCCCAGAAGCCCCAACCTAGGTCCGTGAGTCGGGAGGAGCTCTCGGAGATGCTGCGGGCCATGGCGCCGTACCTGCGCAGTGGGGGTGGCCCGGTCCCTCTCTGGGCGCTGCCAGACATGGCGTGGTCTCTTGCAACATTCGATGAACATCAATGAACATACATATTGCTTCAGCTTGCTGCTCTCATCTTCGGGGGTGGTCAACACCATCATTCCTCATGTGGAGGGTTGCGACTTGCGACCAATATTCTGGGCCACAAAATGCAAAGAGCTTCTTTCTTGCGGACGTTTTTAAGACTTATTTTCACCATGTTGGACCTTTTGCCATGTTTACGTTTTTTTCAACTGGAGTCTTTTTCAAAGCATTGTTGCTTTCCCGTTGTGTTGTGGGTTGTCCAGGAAGCATTGCAGCATATTGCAGCATTGCACTGCACGCTTGACATCGCTTGACGTTTGTTTTCCAATCATTTCCGACAGAACGTCTGGCTACTATCGACTCGAAAGGATCGCACCCCGTCAAAGGGCGCAGAGTGCTTTCAATTGATATTGGTTTGCGTATGGTTTCGTGATGTTTCATGTTTGTGTCAGTGCCAGGAATGAGGTAGGACCTGCGTCTGCCCATGCAAGTTGTTGAACACTTGAAACTTGACATGCATCAAACCCATCATGAGATAAAGCGAAAGCCCACCCTAACTCCACTTCCTTCCGCCCGAGAAGCGGACTGCAAACACGTGCGAAGCGCACCTGTGGAAAGCACGAGGTGCTCACCGGGACGCCCATCTGGAAAGGCGGGGATTGGCGGGACCGGTGGGACCGGTGTTTGGGCACCGGCCGAACAATGAGGTCCTTGAGGCCCAACCCACAAGAGTCCAAGAAGGATGGTTTTTGATGGTTTTTGGGGTGGTCTTGGAATGTGTTGGATACTTGCTGTTAAAATGTTTTAAACATCTTCAGAGAAGATGGAGCACCAAGCTGTTGGGTTTAGGACGCTTCCACCTCTTCACCTTCGTCCTTTCATCTGTCTTCCCACGTCCCACGTCGGACCCGATGGATCGGTGCCCGGTGAATGTCGGTGCCCACGGCCAGCTGCCCTGCAAAAAGACAAGCATCGCTTTGTAGTCTTTTTGAGTCACCACCGCTTTATGATTTTTGATTTGGTTTGATTTGGTTGGTGATCGCGAAGTGAACGCGACTGAAAGTGGACGCGAGGTCAAACACTGAGCAAAGGCTGTGTTTGTATGTGTTTGTAGGGCTTCCAATAGCTTTAAGGCAATGGAATCGACTCTTTTGCTTCCTTGTAAAAGGAGAATCGACTCCTTTGCAGCCTCTAATGTCCAAGCACCGCCCCATTCCATCCAAAGCGAACGTTGCCACTCGCCTTTCGAGTTTGGATCCGTGGGCCTCTGTCAGGGTCTATGCGCTGCACAGTCTCCACCCCAATTCACGGGTCTCCTTCGATGAGCTCATGGACCTGTGCGTCTCGGGTGGTATGGGACCGTCTGGCGTTCGGATGAGTTCGCAGACCTTGAGATACACACACACATGTCATGGCGTATCCTATTCTTAGCGAGCGACGGTGGCAGCTTCAATCCATAAAGTTGTTTGTTGCCCGTAGCCATTTCAGGGCATTGGGTTTGTTAGAAGCTATACACAAGCATTTTGGATTCAACACTGAAGACATTCCTTGGTTCTTTGGACACACAGAAGAGTGACAGAACAGCCTGACAAAGATGGCAACGTTCCTCACGACATTTGGGCAACTGAGCTCGGGTCAAAAGCAACAGCCCTATAGATCCCTATGGGATAGGATGGCATATCATGACAATGACAGTTACCATGACAATGACAGTTACCATGACACATCATATTGGAAGCATCATGAAGCATCCATTTGGAGTCACTTGGAGGGTGGAGTGCCACCATCCATCACTGTCCATGACCTATTTCCGGTCACGGTCGGGACTAGTTCCGCACCGTCACGGAGCCTCGAAGCCATGGCGGTGCAGACGAGCCTCTTCTGAACATTCGACTTCAACCAGACGTGCCTAAGAGGCATTGGGATTTGATCCAGTTCGATCAGGTTTCAATTGGATCATGAGACACTCCTCCGGATTTTGGTAGGTCCAGAACTGGCCTCATGGAGTCCAGATAGGCTAGAGATGGCTAGAGAGATCCATGTCTCTTGGGATCTTTGTTCGGGAGGGGCACAGATAGGTGATTTCTTCTATTTCTACTGCCTGTTGCCTTACAGTTATAGAGTTGAAATACTTTTCAAGAGGACCATGGTGTTCTGCTTGGTCGATTTTCTGGCACTTCCATTGATGGGGGACCCATGGGACGACCCTCTTGGCCCACAGCCGCGTTTACCGCGCCGCGTCTACCGTTCGGGCCGTCGGCGCGAAGATGGGGGGCTGCTAGACAAGGTGCCGGTTCGGAACGCCGCGGACGTGGGCTGGAGACGCGTGTAGCGTTGCAAGCTGGCGGAGCCTCGACACCACCCAGCGAGAACGACGAGAAGTAGGGTTTACCTTGGAGAGGGGAGGGTTCCACGGGAACATAGAATCTCATGGCAGAATTGCCTTCACACGAAGGTGCTTCGAGGTGGAACTTTTGCTTGAGCTTACCATAGCTTACCCTTGTTTTCCTCGGCAAAAGGCCAGAGCTAGCACCTGCTGCCTCAAGTATACAGTATACTGTAAATTGTTCGATCCAAATCTTTGGGAATGGTGTTTTTTGCGACAGTAATCAGGGTATGTCCAGACAGTTATGTAGATCGTTTTTTTTTTCGACCAGTCACCGGTGTTTTTTGCTACAGTGACTAGGTTCGGTGTTTTTTGCACCAGTAGTCTGGTGTCTGGTGTTTTTTGCGACGGTTCCTCCTGGTCGCTGTTTTTT